CGACCGGGGGGGGGGGGGGGAGCGAGTATGTCGAGATCAAATGACATTTGATCTTCGTCGTTTCTAAGATGAAGTTTTATCGTTATTACTCACTCGGCTCAGTAGTTTCAGTTAGTGAAACCCACCTATACAGGGGCGTCGCTACGGATTTTTTACTGGGGGGGGGGGGGGGGGATCGACGTACTTAAAAACCCAGAAGTAGACATAGTTACCTCACTTTTAGCCTAATGCAATAGTAGCATATAGTCATGATCTCTCTTATTGACCTGTTTATGTATCGCAAAAATTTGCAAAACAAAATTGTAAAAACACAGCTCTAAAACACAAACATTACAACCCTTATAGCATGCTAGTACAAGCCGGAGTTCCTTCACAGTACACATATGAATTCCGATTCAATTTGACACGGTTGATGTTATTACAGTCACGATCTCTCTGATTGATTGGTGTATGAATCGGCGCAAAGCGCCGATAAAATTTGCAAAAGCATTTGTCAAAACACAGCTCCAAAACACAATTTTTACCACCCTTTGAGCATGGCAGTACAAACCGGAGTTCCTTCACAGTTACACATATGAGTTCTAATTCAATTTGTCACGGTTGATTGGTGTAATTACAGTCACGATTTCGTATTGACCTGTACGTACATGAATCGGCGGCGCGAAGCGCCGCGAAAAATTTGCAAAAAGATTTGTCAAATTTGTCAAATTTGTCAAACACAGAGGGGGGCGGCCTCCTCTCTACAGAGGACCACCTCTCTACTGCGGGCCTCCTCTTTTCGCAAGGCCTCTTAACTACAGAAGGCCTCCTCTCTACAGAGGTCTTCCTCTCTACCGAGGGTCTCTCCCTTTCAGAGGGCTTCCTTTACAGAGGGCCTCCTCTCTTCAAAGAACCTCCTCTCTACAGAGGACCTCATCTCTGCAAAGGGCCTCCTCTCTTCAGAGGGCCTCCTCTCCACTGAGGCGCGAGTCCTCCTCTCTACAGAGGGCCTCCTCTCTACTGAGGAAGTCCTCCTCTCTACAGAGAGCCTCCTCTCTACAGCGGGTCTCCTCTCTACAGCGGGTCTCCTCTCTTCAGAGGGCCTTCTGCTTTCAGGCGGTCTCCTTTCCACAGAGGGCCTCCTCTCTATACAGGGCTTCCTCTCTACATAGAGCCTTCTCCTCTCTACGGGGGGCCTCCTCTCTACAGAGGGCCTCATACCTACTGAGGGCCTCCTCTCTATTGAGGAGTCAGAGGGGCCCTAGCGGTCAGACACAGGCACTAGCGGGCGGTTATTCAGGAAGTAAGAAGGAAGGAGAAGGAGGCCTCAGGAAGTAAGAAGGACCCTAGCTGTCAGGCTGGTCAGAGGGCCCTGAATGTCCTGACGTGATTTTTTGGATTCCCGTGAATTTCTTACGCCTCCGATGTGATTTTGGCCCCACGGGGGCCTCCTGAAACCCCAATGGGGGGGGCGCCCCGTCCCCCTTTGGGTACGTCCCTGGGGCCCACGCCGGTCTCCGAAGGTCCAAATTGCCTCTTGAGTCTCATACTGTTCAGTGGCCCGATGGTCTTATGATGGCCTGTTAGATTTCTCACCGGCTTCAGAGGGCTCACATCGACCTATGAGGACCCCGCGCTGGCCTCCGAGGGCGCAAAATGTAAGAAGGTAAGCATGCCGCGTAAATAATGCATAAGTATTCCGGCATCTGAGGGACTCCGACTGCTTTTTGGGTACCTACCGCCTCATACCGGTGAAATGAGGGTCCCTGACACCCTACCTGTCTCTGAAGGTCCATTTCGACATTCGAGATCCTTATTTTGGGTCACAGCAGAGGCCCATGCAGTTCCCTTAAGGCCCAATGCCGACGGTCATTTAGCCGCTTCTGATGGCCCCACGTCCTCTTTTGAAGGCACCTCAGGGGTCACCATAGGCCTGCCAGGGGCACCACCGGCCTCGCAGGGGCACTTTGGCTGTCAGGGGCACCACAGTCCTGTCAGGGCCCAGGGGCCCCAGCGACCTAGCAGGGGCACCACAGGCCCGCCAGGGTTACCACAGTCCGGCCAGGGGCACCACAGGCCTGCCAGGGCCCAGGGGCACTAAAAATAAAATAAAAAATATAAAAAACAAAGATGGAAACACGGCATCACCAAAATTAAGTGGCCGAAATCCGTTGAGTTTTTAAATTTGGATATAGGTATGGGCACCATAAATTAAATTCATGACCATCCCCTTGGAGTTTTCCTGTATCAACCCCTGGTGCTCGCACGGTTGAGACAAAAACGAGTGAGATTCTGGCCTTCAATACGCCTTTCACGCAACACGATCCAGACAAAAACAAAGGTATTAGCTCAGATGTGTTTGATAGGTGATTTTGAGCATGCAAGACGGCGTCTATAACGCATTTAGTATTCGGCTTTTGGAGGGGGGTCAACTGACCCTCTCAGACCATTTGGGGGTCATGACCCCGTGCCCCCTCCCCCAGGATCCGCCACTGAATTATTCATGCGTTGCTGTACATAGGAGGTATGTGAAAGGAAAGTATGTCTAGCAAACACCTTTCTGTCAAATTTTCAACAGGTCCACTACTGGACCTGGACCACATGGACTCAATGAGGGCCCATGGCTCTCTAATGGTTCACGGTCATCACGGAACCATTAAGGGCCCACTAGCTTGTGGTGGACTACGACTCATTGAGATCTACTCACTGATATAGGGCTCCGATGCTTGGAATGTGAGATTTAAAACACTAATACAGGCCAAAATGGCTGATCACTTTTTTAAACATAAGTCAGGACTCAGAAGGGCCCACTTTCGTTATATATTAGGTCCCCCCCAGGTCCCCCCAGGAAATGGAATTAATGGGGCCCGGGGGGGACGGTCCCCCTCGGTCCCCCCGGTTTCTCCGGCCCTGCAGCTTATCTGAGGCTGCTCAGTGCTCAAGGAAGAATTCTGGCCTCATGTGCCTGGCGGAGTTCAAAGACAAGGCCGATGGTTTCAGCAGGACGGCGCTGAAGTGACAACGGCGGCTGGGCGCCAGTGGTTGGATGGCAACTTTGACAGACGAGTGATCAGCCGTCTCACTGAGCGGCCATGGCCAGCTTGGAGCCCTGATCTCTCGCCGATGTACTTCTGATTTTGGACAGTCGTCTTGGAGGCCCCAAGCAGAGACCCTTCCAGTGACCCTCATAGAGCTACAGGTCACAGTGGAGAAGTTTGCTGCAATGCTGTGCGCGGAGGATGTGAAGCGCGTGGTGCACCATTTGCGTCCGCGGGCCGAAATCTGTGTCCCAAAGCGAGGCGACACAGTTAAAAATCGATGAAGGGTACCTAAATGCGAGTCATGTGTACATACTTTCCCATGATTTGTTATTTCATTCGGGTATTGACAATAACTTTGTGATGTATATCACCTGAGCTATGGCTATTTCAAAAATAACATTCATTATGAAAGACCCTGTAGTTTTGATAAATGATGGTTATGTAACATGTTACGAAGCTATCGTTGGTGGTTGTCAGTCACCCACTCTAGATGGCCGGCAGGAAGCCTGCTGGTCGACCTGACCTGTCCTGACCCGACCCGATCTACCCAAAATGCATGGAGTCATCATTTTTGTTCAAGACTAACATCGAACTCGTACTCGGGACCCCGATAACAGCTACGGCTCACTAAGTTCTAGCAGGCGGCCAGATTTTTCCTACTTTTGGGCGTTAACCTAAGATGACCCGGCCAAGACCTTGAAATTGGGCATCATCGGCTTTCTCTCATCACGGGCAGCATTTTCGCTCTTCCGCGAAACTCTACCTCGATCAGGGGCCGAACGCATGCCAGCCTTATGCGTTGCGTTGGTAAACGTTTTACCTTAGCGACCCGCAAAATACGAATAAGAGCTACAGCAACACAGAAAGCGTATTCGATAGCTTTTAAAGCTCTTTCGCCAACTTCGCCTCAGATATGACTTCGGGTCTATGGCTTGTGTACCTTAGAGTCCAAACAGCTAAACGGACGGATTTTGCCGAAACATTTGTTCTGTAACAACCTATGATTCAGTGAATGTGTATGATATTCATGTTATCACCATCGTTTTTGTTTCGTCGAAACACGTCGCATGGCTTACAATTTGAACTTAAAAACTTGAATAGAAAACTTGACATCAGGTAAAGGTCATGACCTGACCGGAAAAGAACCTGCTGCATATGGATCGATCTGTGTTACTGAGCTGAACACACACCAGGTGCTGTCATCGCTCTACAACGTCTCCATCAAAAGTTGTCGAAAATGTGTTAGAGACCTTTGATGACCTAATGACTGACCATTTCAGTCACCACTGGTCATTAGCTGCACCTTATCTCTAAAATGAACAAGGTGCCATGGCTACAAAAGTATCTAGCGTTTTTAGCATATTCTTTCAAAGCAGAGGACATCGTGCTTTTTCCCATATCTTATCATGATGGGTGAGGTCACACACCTATTTGACCTGACTTCGCTTCTCAGATGTAAAATCCCAGATTCATGAACTGTTGGCACTTATAATCCCATTCATTACACCAAATTTCAGACTTATAGGAGTCAGGAGATAGGAATGACTATAGGAATGACAAGATTGCAGTTTTAAGAGGCATTAAAACTGAACTTGACATGACATTGTGACCGGACCTCAGGTGACCTCTGCTTGATTTTTATGCACGATGCAAAATTGATGTACATTAAGATATACCGCTACTTTCGCAGCGCTGCGCGCCGAGGTTTTTCTCCGGGCACACGAAAAAACCGGGAGTGTGGCTAAAAACACCCCTACCCATCAAGACGAAGACCGGAAACCCGACCCCCCACTCAAAAATCCGTGGCGACGCCCCTGCTTCTAACCATACACGTCCAGTGATCAAAACACGTGGCAAAATGATTCAGGAGCTTTTACTCTTCTCAGGTTTGCCAGACATGGTTATTCTTTCCAAATGTTGGCGATTACTGCGTAATACCTAACATAGACACTTCTTACCCCCTATGTAAAGGCAGCTAGCTTAAAAAACTACTACTTCAACCTGTATTGACATACAGAAACCGGGTGATGTTACACGATTAGCAACAAACCTGAGACCTCACAAACGACAACCACAGGACAGATAAAACACAACGATCAAACGCACAACAATGGCCGGTCATACCTGTGTCGATGCGTCTCAGCATTGCATTTCGACAGTCAAACCATTTACCGTATCGGTCATACCTGTGTGATCCTCAAAACTATGTACCGGTTTAAACCAATCTATTGTGTGTCAAACTAACAAAGCGTTAGATGGTAGTAGAGATGTCAATCGGATACCAACTTTTTGGTATATCGATCCAAACCGATACCAACTTGATGTTCGGTATTTCAATCGTAATGTGTTTGGTATTTTGTTGGTATCATAAACCCTCACTAATGTATAAGAGACTAAGAAATTGGTAAAAAGTTGGAATTTCCCTCATTTTCCCAAGTTGGTTTGGTCTCGGTATTTTCCCGTGGTTTTGGTTGGTATTTGGTTTGGTATCGGTACCTATTCCGATTTTCCGTAATTGACATCACTAGATGGTAGTGCCAGCAGTGCGGCCGCTCTTTGAGTGGGATCGCATGTGTCCGGTGAGGTGTGACCGTTGAATGAACCGTGCCGTGCATAAGGAACATCCATACGGCCGTTCCCCCGTGTGGATACGCATGTGTTTTGTTAGGGTAAACTGTTGAGAGAACCGTGCCGTGCATATGGAGCAGCCGTACGGCCTCGCCCCAGTGTGGGTCCGCATGTGTTTAGTGAGGGTTGACCGTTCAGTGAACCGTGCCTTGCAGATGGAGCAGTCGTACGGCCGCTCCCCAGTGTGGGTCCGCATGTGTGTGGTGAGGTGAGACCGTAAAGCGAACCGTGCCGTGCATAAGGAGCAGCTGTACGGCCGCTCCCCAGTGTGGGTTCGCATGTGTTTAGTGAGGCTGACCCGTTGAGTGAACCGTGCCGTGCAGATGGAGCAGCCATACGGCCGTTCCCCCGTGTGGATACGCATGTGTTTTGTTAGGGTAAACTGTTGAGAGAACCGTGCCGTGCATATGGAGCAGCCGTACGGCCGCTCCCCAGTGTGGGTCCGCATGTGTTTAGTGAGGGTTGACCGTTCAGTGAACCGTGCCTTGCAGATGGAGCAGTCGTACGGCCTCTCCCCAGTGTGGGTCCGCATGTGTTTAGTGAGGGTTGACCGTTCAGTGAACCGTGCCTTGCAGATGGAGCAGTCGTACGGCCGCTCCCCCGTGTGGGTCCGCATGTGTGTGGTGAGGTGAGCCCGTAAAGCGAACCGTGTCGTGCATAAGGAGCAGCTGTATGACCGCTCCCCAGTGTGGGTCCGCATGTGTCTGGTGAGGTTTGATCGTCGAGCGAAACATGCCGTGCATAAAGAGCAGCTGTATGGCCGCTCCCCAGTGTGGGTCCGCATGTGTGCCGTGAGGTGTGACCGTAAAATGAACCGTGCCGTACAGATATCACAGCGGTGCGGCCGCTCCCCAGTGTGAGTCCTTCGATGGCGTTTCATGTCGCTGGAATTGTCGGTTGAGTACTGACACCACTCGCACTTGAATCTCCCGTTCCTGTCGACGTGACCGTGACTTCTCTTCACGTGTCTGTCCAGACGTTGTTGTCCGAGGCATCGGAAGCCGCAGTGGGGACACCGAAGTGTACCACCAATACCTGTAAAACACATTTAGAGATTGAGGGAGGTCGACAATGTTTCTAGCCAGATATGTAAAACATCAGGCTAAAATGATTGCATTGAGAAATGACAGTGAAGGATATGCATCGGTTCCCTTAGTGTCGGTGAAGTAGGATTAAGGCGCTAGCTGTCCCATCCACGGCTAGCCGGAGAAGTATGAGAGCCACTGAATACTGACCGATGAATGACATGCGGTCACGACGAAGGGAGAGGTCGAGGAGCAGTGGTGGAATAAGCAGTCACCAGCCGGTAACCTTGCGACGGCAATAAACACGTAATGGACAAGATCGGTTGCTTGACAAAGATTAAAATGGAGTGGCCACAAACGCAGTACGTAGTGGTGCCGGAACCCCCAGGTTTTTGATGCGGCTCGAAAAGCCATGAACCAATACGGAAGGAGCATGAATCCTCGCATGATCCTTTGTTTTAATAGTTGAGATCACCGAAGATCTTAGTTCTATTAAAACAAACACGAACTTTGGAACATATTTGACTAACTCGAGGGCAGCGCTTTTCGAGGAGCGCTGGGTCCCGAAGGTTTGGACTTTGAATTAGGAAAAAAGCCCGCCCGCCGCAAAACGCAAACACCGCAAAACGCGCGAAACGCACGCCAGAAACGCCAACGCAAACGTCGCAAAGAATAAACAAACACCCGCCCGCCGTAAACCGCAAAAAAAAACGCAAAAACGCCGCAAAACAATAAAACCGCCCGCATCGCACGCCCGCTAACCGCCAACCGAAAACGCCTAAAAATCGCCCGCCCGCCGCCAAAAGAAAACACCGCAAAAAACGAAAAAGCGGCCGCCAACCGCAAACAAATTTAACACCGCAAACGACGCAAAAAAAAGAAAACCGCCCGCATCGACCGCCCACCCGCGCCGCCGCCAAAGACAAACACCGCAAAAAAAAACACAAAACGCCCGCCCGCCGCAAAACGTTAACACCGCAAAACGTGCAAAATGCACGCCCGAAACGCCAACGCAAACGTCGAAAAAAATTCGCCCGACCGCCGCAAACCACACAAAAAAAAACGCCGAAACGCCGAAAGAAATAAAACCGCCCGCATCGCACCGACGCTAACTGCTAACCGAAAGCGACTAAAAGTCGCCCGCCAGCCGCCAAACACAAACACCGCAAACAAGCGCCCGGCCGCAGGAGGATAATAATTTATCAACGACTGGCATGCCGCTAGGATTCCAGAGATTCTGCCTTTTGGTCATTTTCAAAAATCAAAAAGATATCTGCAAAAATCTCCTAGATGAAAGCGCCCAATCAAAAACCGGATGGCACGTGCGTGTTCCTCGCCCCCAACTTTCTTCAGGTCAATCGTCATTTGGGTCACCTAACGCATTGACGACTGGCTGGGTGGAATGAACATTGCGCCCAGAAACGTAAGTATATTGTCCAAAAAGAATCCCCAGAATGGTGGATCCTAAAAGTTTGAAACTACCACTTAGACCCACTGGACGACACCTTAAACAGTTGCCAACCGGATGACACCCATTGTTTGGTCACCCACGCCATAGTATGCATCATGGGTGCACCGAAATGTCCAAAAGTCCAAGTTTTCCGGTGTGCAGGGTCATTTTAAACGGCACGTGGCACGTGGTTCTGGACTTTTCCGGCCACTTTGCGACATACCCATGGCCCATGGGCAGTGCAACGAATGGTGGTTGATCTGCATGTAAGAAAATGGGGGGTCGTTTGGATCGTTTTCGAGCAATCTGCCGTGGAACGCATTTTTTCATTTTGCCCATTGGCTTAAAGGGAGATAATGAGCTTTCTTTTTTCTTAAATAAAAATTACTCGACATCTATACTATTTCTACTGTAGTTTCTATAAATATGAAAATTTCCTAGCACATTTTCGTATGTGAAAAAGGTTTTTATTTTTGCAAAAAAGAAGCAGTACTTGCAGTACTTGTAACACCCACCGAAATGCGTTGTCCTCTATAAAAAAGTCGCAGTATATGGCGCTTTTGTTTCAAACAGCGACGCTTGGGTTTTTGTTTATGTTATCGCCTTGTCGTTGCTTGGTTGTAAGGATTCTAATTTGAATTAGAGTTAATTCGGTTTAGAATTAATTAGATTCTAATTCGGGGGTACATAGTGCCTACTCTTCTTTGTTTCGGCATGCGGCACAAATGAACGGCATGCGCCAGAAACGCAGCCAAATCTTGCGATTGCGACTACGAAATTCATTATTTTGGCGTCAGAGCCTGAAGCGAAAAATACAAGCATATTTATTTCAAAAAGACTTCAGGTTTGTCGAACGGTGTTATGAGAATTTTGATAACAGTACTGCATAAGTTTTTCAGTGATGCCGCAAAAGTGTTGTATCTATCTTCTTTTATTGTGCAGTCGGCGGGACCGATTAAAAATTGAGTCGTTGCTACTAAAATAGCAGCATATGGCGTCAGATGATGAACAGGAAAAATAGTTGCGTAAATTTAGACATAAACCACCCCCAAACCATGAATATCTTTTGAAGGCACTATAGACGACCATTAACTAACTAGATGTGATGAAGATCAAATGTAAGGAATACGCTCATTTTACAAAATTACATGCAAGTACCAAAAAGTGATGTAAGTACTTATTCAACGGTCAATTTCAGCGCTCCCCGCTAACGTGACTTCAAGTTGAGATATTTGCGGCAAGGTACCGAATTGAGCAAAATGGTTTTAATTTACATTACCTATAACTTGTTGTGTTTTGTCAGAAAATGGTCCTAACTCAGATTTTGTGGAAAAAGGTCATTATCTCCCTTTAAAGGAAGGGTGCCACCTTCCGAAATTTTTGTTCTATGAATCTATTTTACTTATTTGAATTTTTAGACGTGGTTAGCGCGTCCACAATATACAAAAAACCGAAACATTGCATTTAATACATTGGCCAAAAAAAAGATCGTTGTTTATATCACCACTACAACTCAAGGTCGTTTGATGTGGCAGCTAGGACGGCTGGCATATCCTGTTGTCATGGCAACATATCATTCTGCCATTTGCATTGATGGCGCAACTGAGACAAAAAGATGAACAAATAAAAAGGAAGAAGATAACATGATTTGAACTAAGTTGTAGGTAACCAAGTAGGTAACTGTTGGCCATATTTGCCACCCATCAAATAAGTCGAGTAAAGGTTTTTCCTTTACAATGCTTAAGAGATCTATGGAACCCTTCGCCCTTCATGCAACTTACTAGAAAAACTTCCCAATTAAAATTTTAAAACTTAAGTGTATACCATAAATAAAAAATATACCCTTTCAAAATGATAAAACATGCTTCAAAAGTATAACTTTTATACATACCTTTGCTGATTTCATGTTTTATAAAATACCCTTAACACGACGAGGAAATAGTGCTGAAGATTTTTGCCTGCCCGAATGCTGGCAGCAAAACTCGCAAATGATAACTTCACGTGCGGATTCAATGCTGACCGTCTCGAGCATAGGTAAGTGAAGCCGGTTTTTAGGTTCATGTGAGGCTAATCTTGTAAAAACTGCGTTGTGTCCAAAAGGTGGCACCCTTCCTTTAACACGGGAATTTTCAAAGTCACGTGGCACGTGCACCAGATTGTCCGCGGAGGGGAGACCCATACCAGAACGTAGATCACCTGGCGTATACTCCGTTCTTTCTTAGGTTTGCCAGACATAGTTATGCTTGACAAATATTGGCGATTACTGCGTAATACCTAACATAGACACTTCTTACCTCCTATGTAAAGGCAGCTAGCTTAAAAAAAACTACCACTTAATCAACCTGTATTGACATACAGAAACCGGGTGATGTTACACGATTAGCAACAAACCTGAGACCTCACAAACGACAACCGCAGGACAGATAAAACACAAAGATCAAACGCACAACAATGGCCGGTCATACCTTTGTCGATGCGTCTCAGCATTGCATTTCGACAGTCAAACCATTTACCGTATCGGTCATACCTGTGTGATCCTCAAAACTATGTACCGGTTTAAACCAATCTATTGTGTGTCAAACTAACAAAGCGTTAGATGGTAGTAGAGATGTCAATCGGATACCAACTTTTTGGTATATCGATCCAAACCGATACCAACTTGATGTTCGGTATTTCAATCGTAATGTGTTTGGTATTTTGTTGGTATCATAAACCCTCACTAATGTATAAGAGACTAAGAAATTGGTAAAAAGTTGGTATTTCCCTCATTTTCCCAAGTTGGTTTGGTCTCGGTATTTTCCCGTGGTTTTGGTTGGTATTTGGTTTGGTATCGGTACCTATTCCGATTTTCCGTAATTGACATCACTAGATGGTAGTGCCAGCAGTGCGGCCGCTCTTTGAGTGGGATCGCATGTGTCCGGTGAGGTGTGACCGTTGAATGAACCGTGCCGTGCATAAGGAACATCCATACGGCCGTTCCCCCGTGTGGATACGCATGTGTTTTGTTAGGGTAAACTGTTGAGAGAACCGTGCCGTGCATATGGAGCAGCCGTACGGCCGCTCCCCAGTGTGGGTCCGCATGTGTTTAGTGAGGGTTGACCGTTCAGTGAACCGTGCCTTGCAGATGGAGCAGTCGTACGGCCGCTCCCCAGTGTGGGTCCGCATGTGTGTGGTGAGGTGAGACCGTAAAGCGAACCGTGCCGTGCATAAGGAGCAGCTGTACGGCCGCTCCCCAGTGTGGGTTCGCATGTGTTTAGTGAGGCTGACCCGTTGAGTGAACCGTGCCGTGCAGATGGAGCAGCAATACGGCCGTTCCCCCGTGTGGATACGCATGTGTTTTGTTAGGGTAAACTGTTGAGAGAACCGTGCCGTGCATATGGAGCAGCCGTACGGCCGCTCCCCAGTGTGGGTCCGCATGTGTTTAGTGAGGGTTGACCGTTCAGTGAACCGTGCCTTGCAGATGGAGCAGTCGTACGGCCGCTCCCCAGTGTGGGTCCGCATGTGTTTAGTGAGGGTTGACCGTTCAGTGAACCGTGCCTTGCAGATGGAGCAGTCGTACGGCCGCTCCCCCGTGTGGGTCCGCATGTGTGTGGTGAGGTGAGCCCGTAAAGCGAACCGTGTCGTGCATAAGGAGCAGCTGTATGACCGCTCCCCAGTGTGGGTCCGCATGTGTCTGGTGAGGTTTGATCGTCGAGCGAAACATGCCGTGCATAAAGAGCAGCTGTATGGCCGCTATTGGTGCCAATCGGAATTTCTTTTCTTGGAATTCCAATTTTTGTCCAATTCCAATTTGGAATTTGGACGGAATTCTTAACATTTTTTGGAAATTAATCGGAACACAAGGCCTTTAAAATTTAAAATTTTAAAACGGAGGCCTTTAAAACGCTTTTTAACACTTTTAAAATTTACGCAAAAAAAGGCAAAAATCGTTAAAAATTGGAATAGCCCCCGCTTTGGACAAAATTGGAAATTTACTTGGCAATTTCTTGGAATTGGATCGGAATTGGAATTGAAATTTCATGAAATTGGCACCACTAATGGCCGCTCCCCAGTGTGGGTCCGCATGTGTGCCGTGAGGTGTGACCGTAAAATGAACCGTGCCGTACAGATATCACAGCGGTGCGGCCGCTCCCCAGTGTGAGTCCTTCGATGGCGTTTCATGTCGCTGGAATTGTCGGTTGAGTACTGACACCACTCGCACTTGAATCTCCCGTTCCTGTCGACGTGACCGTGACTTCTCTTCACGTGTCTGTCCAGACGTTGTTGTCCGAGGCATCGGAAGCCGCAGTGGGGACACCGAAGTGTACCACCAATACCTGTAAACACATTTAGAGATTGAGTGAGGTCGACAATGTTTCTAGCCAGATATGTAAAACATCAGAGTAAAATGATTGCATTGAGAAATGACAGTGAAGGATATGCATCGGTTTCCTTAGTGTCGGTGAAGTAGGATTAAGTCCCATCCGCGGCTAGCCGGAGAAGTATGAGAGCCACTGAATACTGACCGATGAATGACATGCGGTCCCGACGAAGGAAGAGGTCGAGGAGCAGTGGTGGAATAAGCAGTCACCAGCCGATAAACTTGCGACGGCAATAAACACGTAATGGACAAGATCGGTTGCTTGACAAAGATTATCCCCGCGTTCGATGTCTCTCGGACGGCGAAGATTCTACGCCGTCCGGCCAATCACGTTCCATAACCGCAGCCGAGCCCCCGCTGACCTTGGACGGGATTGGCCGGACGACGTAGAATCTTTGCCGTCCGAGAGACATCGAACGCGGACTAGAATGGAGTGGCCACAAACGCAGTATGTAGTGCTGCCGGAACCCCCAGGTTTTTGATGCGGCTCCAAAAGCCATTAACCAATACGGAAGGATCATGAATCCTCGCATGATCCTTTGGTTTAATAGTTGAGATCACTGAAGATCTCAGTTCTATTAAAACAATCACGAACCTTGGAACATATTTGAATAACCAACCAGTCCCATCAGTTGGGGGATTATAATAACTTCTGGAATAAAGACATGATAACCTAGTAAAATAAGCCTGACGGATCTATATTACTATTTGTGGTGACGTAGTTTCTGTCTATTACGAAGGTCGCGACATGGTGCTACGTAGCGCGGGTTACAGGTCACACCGTTGCACCTACCGCGCTGAAGTTTGCGCAACTCATAGAACAAGGATGGACAACGTGCCTTTGATGGGTCTCAGCTCGATCGGATCGATAGCGAGCGCGTGGCGCGTGCCCAAAAAGTGCAAATTCGCGTCATAGACTTTACATGTATTAATCGGCTGGCAAAAACGGGCGAAAACAGCCAAATTTGCCCGACACGGGTCCGGTCCCGGTGCAATATCTCGGTAACCGTGGGCCCGACCGGTACGGGGAAAACAGCATCGTGTAGAGAATCGAACGGGCTATCGAATGGTGTGCGATGCAGGGGTTGGCACGCGCCACGTGCACCGGGGAGGACACTTTCTTTTGAAAAATGGACGTTTTGGACGGATTTTGGAATTTATATTAATTTCAGGTGATCGTCAGACGGAATGAGTTGAAACAGCGCCTATTAGCAATAAAAATGTACCGTCTCTCATGGAAAAATTGTGAAAAGCTAATTGATCAAAAACAATGTGGAAAAAATCGCTGAATTAAATGGTATTTGTCCAAAATGTGCCGCTAAATAATTACACGGATTTTGCTGCTTAACCTGATACGTTTGACACCAGTGGCGGCGGAAGGTAATTTTGGATGGGGGTGCAAAGTTTTCTCGAGGGGCCCCTCTGGAAGTTTGGGCCCCCTTCATTTTTTTTTTTGTTGTGATTATTATTGATTTATGAAAAACGAAGATTTTGGAAAACTATCCCCATACACACAAGTTCTGCAAAATGTTTGAAACTGCAGTGTACCTACCCATCTCAAATAATGAAAGCATAAAGAAGCAAATGCAGCTAGTTTTTATCGGCTAATCTTTTAGTCTACCCACCACCCGCAGCGTCTCAAACCACTTTTCTCGATCCGCAGTGGACCATTGAGGGCCCTACGAGACCGTTCCAAGAATTGACCGTGTTTAGAAGCCCCTTGGAAACCGACCACATAGAGACTCCTCCCGAGACCTACATGACTCCCCAGACTGAATGAGCCCTCCGATCAGGGTCGGTCCCTTAAAAGTTGCTGAAAGGTTTCAGAAGGCAGTATAGGCTCGAAAGTCTTTTGAGGGCTCTCAGAAACCGGCATCGGACCCCAAAAAAGCCTGTATGGAGGCCCTCCAAAGCCGGGATGGAGGCCACATGAGCCAATGTTTAGCCTAAAGAGCCGGTATGGAGAACTGAATAGAGGAAAGGGGTCTCAGTGGGGCCTTCAGGGGCAAGCGTTTGAGCCTCAAAAGTATGCGTGGGGTCTTACAGGCAGGTAGACCCCTCGAGTATGCACGGGGTCCCAGGAGCTCGCGTGTGAGCCCAAATATTCGGCTGGCGGCTACTAGAACCAGCATGGGGATTCTTAGAAGCCGCTTAGACCCACATTTCACGGGTCATGAGTCCCAAGAGTCGATGTAGGGGCCATAAAAGCCGGTGTAGGGCCCATGGCCCCATAAGTTCCGACATTGAGACTCTCAGAGGCCGGCGACGGGGCACCAAGAGCAGATAAAGTGCCTCAACAAGCCGACATGGGGACTGAGAATCAGTGTGGAATTCCAAGACCTTCGTATTTCGTAAGGTCCACAAAGGTCGTTGGGTCCTCTGAATCTGAACTCTGCGGGGCCCTCAGAGGCTAGCATGTCACCTGGCACCTGCCTGCGTTGAGTTGAGACCCTCCGAGGCCGTCGTAGGGTTCTTCAGAGGCCAGCGTTGGCCCTTGAAGCCTTCGTTAGGCCCTAGAAGCCGTCAAGAGGGCTCTCAGAAGTCAGAGGTCAGCATGGCCCCTAGAGCCTGCCTGCATCGAGGCACTCAGAGGCCGTCGTGGGGCCCTCAGACGCCAGCGTGGGCCTTTGGAGCTTGCATTGGGTCTAAAAGACCATTGTGAGGGCCCACAGAGGTCCTCGTCAGGGCCCTCAGCCCCTCAGGGACCGTCCTGGGGTCCTCAGAAGTTGTTGTGAGGGCCCTTAGAAGCCTTCGAGAGGATCATCAGAGGTCGTATGAGGGTCCTTGGCCATAGTGAGGGTCTTCATGGGCCCTCAGATACCTTTGCAGGGCTCTCAGGGGCCTTGGTAAGACCGCTAGAGGCCATCGTTAGGGTCCTCAATAGACCGTTGCAGGGCCCTCAGATGCCAGCAGCCTGGTTGTGTTGGGGCCCTCAGAGGCCGTCGCTGGGCCGTCTGAAGCCAAATGGGCCCTCGGACTTGAGTTGGGTCTAGGACCGTCACGAGGGCCTTAGAGACCGTCGTAGAGGCCCTCAGAGGCCAGCGGGCCCCTGGAGTCCTGTGGGACCCTCAGCGGTCGCCATGAGGGCCCTTAGTGGTCGTTATAGGGCCCCAGGGGACAGAGGTCGCCGTGAGAGCCCTCAGAGATCATCGTAAGGGCCCTCAGAGGCCGTCATAGGGGCCCTCAGAGGCCAGCGTGGCCCCTGGAGTCTCCTTGGGGCCCTGGAGTCTCTGTGGGACCCTCAGCGGTCGTCATAAGGGCCCTTAGTGGCCGTTGTAGGGCCCCAAGGGACAGGTCGTCGTGGGAGCCCTCAGAGATCGTCATAAAAGGGCCCTCTGAGGCCCTCGTGGGGGCCCTCAGATGCCGCATGGAGCACCAAACGCGGCTTGGGACACTTCTAGCCGGTGTGGGGGCCCCAAAGACTAGCATGGCCTGGGGCACTCCTGGCCATAATTGGACATCCCGGATATCAGTGTTCGTTTCCCGATCACTGGTTTTCAGGAGAAAATCTATTGGATGGTGCGACGGGCCCCTTGTACGGATTTTGGGGGTGCAAAAAGATATGTTTGCACCCCCATGTTTTTCGATGGGGGTGCAGCTGCACCCCCCGCACCCCCTATTCCGCCGCCACTGTTTGACACTTGAAAATGCTATCATTGGAAAGAGCATTCAATTCTCTCCAAGATCCAATCATCACGTTTGCATGACAAGCAACAGTATTCTTAAAAATATAAATGTTTCAGACCTCTGCAAAACGATTTTTAGTGAAAATTATCTACGCCTTTCATTTGTCATAAAACTACGCGCCTAAATTATAAAGCACATTTGACAGATTCTGAAGTGGAAAGCATGCTTATCAGACACGGGCACCTCGATGCGGTGGATATTTTTTCCACAAACCAAAACGTTTAGCCGTCAAAAAGCAATCGACCGAAATGGATAGATAACCCAACCGACACAAGAACAACCGAACAAGCGCCGATCGAAAATATCCCTTTTCGCGTTGCGGAGCACGCGGGTCACCCTAGTATTACCCATCGGCCAAGAATGGGGGACCATCAAAGCGTCCAAAACCGCAGCATCCAAGGTACGCAACATCCAAAACCGCAGCGTCCAAAATACGTCCAAAATCGGGTATATAGGGAGCATTCACAACGTCCAAAACCGAAACATCCAAAACGTATCATCCAAAAACGCAACATCCAAGGACGCATCATCCAAAGTACGCAACATCCAAAACCGTTTGGTTAGGTTAGGTTAGGCTAGGTTAGGTTAGGTTTCCTTATCCCCGGTAGGCATAAATCAGTAGGTTAGGTTAGGTTAGGTTAGGCTAGGCTAGGTTAGGTTAGGTTGGGTTTCCTTATCCCCGGTAGGCAAAAATCAGTAGGTTAGGTTAGGTTAGCTTGGGTTAGGGATAGGCAGAAATCAGTAGGTTAGGTTAGGTAACAAAATTGCCAAGCCGACTGAGTCATGAGTTGAGTCGATTCTATGAATTTAAAGAAGCCACTGAGTCATGAGTCGAGTCAAATCATCATGTCTTGGAGTTACTCTGACTTTTGAGTCCACTCAAAGGGTAACAAATAAGAAAATTGTTTGATTTACGACTCTTAGTTGCTCTTAGTTACACTACTCAGTGGCCAGTCTAACTCAACTGTCTATGTAATTCCTGCATTTCTAGCCATGAGATATTTCACAGCAGGCAAAACATTAACCCATCCTAACTTGTAGCTGCTGGTTACTGGTTGGCGTCTACTCGTAACAGTTCCTAATTTTCTTCTAGTTAGTGGTAAGGATGACACTCCTTGTCCACCAGGCACCAGGCCAGACATGTGCTTGGATCCGGAAAAATGGATCTGAGATCCGATCCCATGGATCCCGATCCGAGATCCATTCAGATCATAGATCCAACCCCTCAATTTTGTCGAGAGATCTACTGGGATCATAGATCTGACCCCT